TGGTGGTGCTCTTCTAAGAAGACACGGACCGTACAGGCAATGAGTACTAGAAACAGGAAGTGGATCACTGTCTGGGGTGGGCATTGAGGGATAATGGCCAGCTAAGCTTCCAATGTGAGCATTCTTCACCCACTGAGATGTGAGTAAGCCATGCTACAAGCTCTTGCTGCCATGGATGAAGACCCAGGCACCAGGGTCTTCATCTTCAGTAGACTTTACCCCTTAAACTGTGAGCCAAAATGAACTTCTCACTTAAAATGTTCCTTGGGGATTAGTTCAGAGAGACAAGTATGAAAACAATACAAGGAAAGAGAGCAGAATGGAAAGATGGGGAGGCAGGAGCAGAAAACTCAACTCCCCAGAGAATCACTCCATCTTTGTCTTGGTTCCTACAACTACACTGGTAAGCACTGCAGTGTGAGCCCCAAGTAACTACAGAAATGCTCAGAGTCTAGTCAGAATGGACTAAGCTACATTATAAATTAAAACACACCAGGTGTCCATAACTAAGTATTAAATAATGGTATTGTAGCCAGGCAGTGGTGACACATGCCTTTAATCCCAGCACTCGGGAGGCAGAGGCAGGTGGATCTCTGTGAGTTTGAAGACAGCCTGGTCTACAGAATGAGTTCCAGAACATCCAGGGCTGTTATCAGAGAAACCATGTATCAGCGAAAAATAAAAATTGAAAAGGGTAGTTTCTTAGTTAGAGTTTCTATTGCAGCCAGCAAAACACCATGACCAAAAAGCAAATTGGGGAAGAACCATTTGGCTTACACTTCAGCATTGCTGTTCATCACTGAAGGAAGTCAGAACAGGAACTCAAACAAGGTGGAATATCCATGGCAAGAAGTGATGCAGACAGAGGTCATGGAGGGGAGCTCCTTACTGGCTTTACTCTCCTGGCTTGTTCAACCCACCTTCTTATAGAAGCCAACACCAGCAGCCCAGGAATGGCACCACTCACCATGGGCTAGGTACTCCATCAATCACTAATTGAGAAAATGCCTTACAGCTGGATCTTATCAAGGCATTTTTTCAACTGAGGCTCCTTCTTCTGATATCTCTAGCTTGGGTCAAGTTGACACAAAACTAGCCAGTACAGGCAGTAAAGATTTCTTTATGTACTTTGGTTATAATGAGTTAGATATAACTTTAGTAAAAATAATTTCACCCATTCCTTTAAAATGTTTGCTACTGCTAAGTTTTAAGCTGTTCTGGCTTAAAAGTATGTTTCTACACAGTCACAGTTCCTTCCCCACTGTTGTAACAAGATGTCCCATCTCAATACATAAGTATGCTGACTTCATTTTGGAGATGTAGAAGCCAAACCTGGGTGGAATGGGTGGGATTTCCCCAAGGTCATATGGGTAACAAGGGGAAATCCAAAACCTGAACCCAGATCTAATGAGATGCTAAACTGAGTAACTTTCCAATACTCAGCACCAATACTCACCTGAGGCTCTGAATCAGTTTCTCAATGCAATGGTGTCTGTAGATCACAATCCAAGGAAAACATAAAGAACAAATGTAAACTCACTTGTCACCTGGATCACCAATGGGAAACTGTGTTTTACAGAGTGAGACTGATACCCCAGGAGCAGACACTGTTTAAAGACAGTCTAGGCAGATGTTTGCAAGGATAAAAGCAGGAGTTCATATTCAGACCTTCTTCCTTCGTCATAAGTGGCAATTCTCGGTTGAGCCTTGCCACTGTGGCTGCTCATGTGCCTGCCACATACACTGCGTTTTACATGAACTAATGGTGAAGTCCTCAAATTCCCCATAAGAAATGCATTATTTTTAAAAGTGTGTGATATGCAAAAATGCATGTAAAAACCATTCTCCTGTGTGTGAATTATGTGGAGTGGTGTGCAGGTACACGTGTACATGTGTGCAGAGACTCAAGTTGACATCGGTTACCTTCCCTGCTCACTCACTACATTATTTACTGATGCAGGTCTCTTGCTGAACCCAGAATTCAGGAGTCCAGCTAGTCACTTTGCTCCTGGACATCTCTGATCCACCCTCCCAGTGCTGAGATTAGAGCAGCCACCACTCCCTGTGAGCTGTGGGATCTGAACTCCAGTCCACCCACTTGCTCAGCACACTCTTTATCCTTTGAGTCATGGCCCTAAACCCATAAAAAATGGACTCTTTATCCCACGTTACAGATGAAGAAATAGACTCACATGAAGGAGGAGGCATTTGTCCCACATCACTTGGCTAATGGGTGGCAGACAAGAACTCAAAGTCAGCCTGGACCTATCCTCCTGACTTCCCTTCCTACTCCCATCTGCTCCCCTCTGACTGCCATGCTAGACTACCTAATTAACTATTCAATAGCACTAATATAGCTCTATCCCATTTCCTAAAATCCACCGTTGCTCCCTTTTGCCAGCAATCAGTGTTCAACATTACCTCTCCAGCACCAACCACAATGAATCTAATTGGTGTGTATTATCTTGTGATAGTGTAAGCCCTTTCATAGGAGAACTATGCCTTATATACAGAAGTATCTCTGGCACCTGGCATACTATTAGACACATATGAGTTTCCCAATAAAAATGTTAGGTTGATTTAGTGAATGAAATTATCAGCCAGATAGCCATCCAATTCTGATGCTTTGGTTTTCTGTTCTGAGTCCCTTTCCCCAGCAGCTTCCTTTCCTGAATTTGGATGTTCCTCCCCACAGGTGGCTTCTCCACCAATCTGTTGTTATGGAGAGAAGCCAAGTGCATTCAACTGCAGCCTAGTAACCAATTGTCACCTCTCTTTTTTTTATTAATTGCTAGCTTAATCTCACACTCCAAAAGTGTCTACCCACAACAAAAGGCATGTTCTTATTCTGCAACCACCATGGAAACAGGTATCAGCTGAAGGGGAAAAAAAAAGAATTCTGTGGCCTTTGGGACATGGCCTGATGGTTGTATTTTTTTTCAGAATATTTGAGTCTAAGTCAGATCAGACGGAAAAAGAACCTTGAACAAAAACTGAACTATTCACCAAGTTTATGAAGCAAAGAGCAGAGAGGACTGTGATCGACTTTCTCATTATGTCTCTTTAATCCTGGAAGGCTACTATTATCATACCAGTGTCCAGAGAGCGTGTGAGGCTCCATTGAGAAATATACCCCAGTCTCTGACAGAACCCCAGGGCACAGAACCAGGCTCAATCCACATCACTGTACAAGTCACATCCACACATCATTGTATATACCATCAGCCCTTGTTTATGCCTGACCCCTGCTCCTGATTTACAGCAATATCATGGCATTTTAGAGACAGGGGGCCACCATACGCGGTGGTCCTCCATGAAAGATTTACTAAAGTCCCAGCCATAACAAACTGAAAGGTTCATCTACTGTTGGGGAATATTATTGTAAGTGTGTTATTTTTATATGTGCTCCATTTGCTTAACTATGTGAAGCTGTGTACTGTACCTGTCAAAAACACCTCATTGGTCTGGTAAACAGTGAGGCGGTAGCAAGGCTGGCAGGGCTGGCGGGCAGAGAGAATACATAGAAGGAGGAACGAGGAGGAGGAGGAACAAGAGAACAAGGGAGGAGGATGTCAGGGGCTAGCCACCCAGCCACCCAGCCACCCAGCCACCCAGCCACCCAGCCACCTATAGAGTAAGAGTGAAAGCAAGGCATACAGGAATAGAGAAAGATAGAAGCCCGGAGGGAAAAGGTAGACAGGATAATTTAAGATAAGACAAGCTGGCTAGCAACAAACCAAGCTGAGGCCAGACATTTATAATTAATAATAAGCCTCTGTGTGTGATTTATTTGGGAGCAGGGTGTCAGACCCCCCCTTCCCAGAGGCAAAAAACTGAGAAAAAAGAGTGGAAAAACAACAATCTACCTTATTGTATTATGGAAGCTTTCCCATATGGGCATTTTGGTTCTTTCTCTTACATAAAACATAAAACACTATGTCACTCTCCCTTGAACAGTAAGTAGAAGCAGAAGGACAGAAGAAACAGTTTATATCTACTGTGTTTGTATCTAAATACACTGAGAGCACACCTTATTAGATTAGTGTAGTTTGGGGCCACCTACCTGGACAGCATAAATATTATCCTTTTACACTATCTACTTTTGCTAAGTATCTTCTTTTCACTTTCAATAAACATATGACAAAGGCTGTAAAAGGTCAAAATGGAATGACATTCACTGATGGTCTCCCATGTGGAGACTGGGATGTTCCAGATGCCTTCCTGTGTACCAGGTTTACAAAAGCACAGCTGTGAGCCCCTGGATCACAGTGCCCAAGACATGCTATATGGCTTACTGTCCAGCTTAACGAGAAAACCACTCCAAGCCTGCAGCAGGCTCTGTGCACCTGAGGTCTTGGGTTCGGCGGCCAAATAAAGTCACCTCCTGCTCCCAGTGAGCAGGTGGAGAACTCAAAGGGGGAATGAACATTTGTACAGAAGGCTGCTCTAAACCTCACCATCAATGAATACTGAGAAACAGAAAGTCAAAGAATTAGGTTCATAACAAATCTTATACATGGTTATAAATTAATCCTTCCTAAAGACAAGGGGGAGCCTGGTTCAAAAGTCTTAGTCTTAGTTTATGAAGATACACTTCAATTACAAGTGATCACAGTAAGGAATCATGGCAATTTGGCTTCTAAGTGTTATTAAAATATAAGTGCCAAGTTTACCTGGTTCTCTTGAATTGGCCCTTTTCCCTAGAATATGATGAACAGAGATACCCACTTTGATACAGACTATGCTTTGAAAACAGACCCACCTGCAGTATACATTTCAAGCATGTGAGTGAGCTAAACAAACAAATTGTAGTAAACAAAGACAAAAGGTTAAAACAATCGTGGAGAGTATGAACACACCAACGATGGTCCTTTGGGTATGAGCTCCAGAAGGCAGGCCGACACCACAAAGAACCCAAGGGCAGTGCTATTCCCAGGATGGGTAAATGGCATGGGATACACATGTATGGCACACAGCACATGAGCAGAGAAGGCACATACCGCTTCTTCACCAAAACGAGGGCTTCCCATCAATTCTGTCCAGGCTATATCCAAATCCTTCCAAATGGCTTCCACTTCTGCCTCTTCAGTCTCAAAGAGATGGATAAAAGACAGCCCAGTCAGCCAGGGGACTTGGCCTAGGAAAACCACAAAAATGAACTTCAGTCCTAAAAGTAAAAACTGTGTTATCGGTAGAACCCAAGCAGCAGCGTTGACCTTGGCAACTAAGATGTTGATGGGTAAGATATAAAGCCCGTTGTTAATGAAAGTGTCACACTTGCACAGGGCAGCAGACATGGTTGTTTCAGGCTAAAACCACTTCTGGGCACTGAGCATCCCCTGCTGAAATAACAAGGCTGCACTTAACCCTTGACATTCTGTGACCTTCTGTACTATGACTACCTTGAACTCTGAGTCCTCAAGCTATGGGTATTTCAGTAGATGAATTGAAACTCTTTAAATTAATCCAATTTTCTTTACCCAGAACCACAAATATCCCAATGTTCGTCAGATTCAAGGGGGCTGTGAGACACAACACACAGCTAGCTGAATTATGTCAGAAATGAGAACACTCGTCACATTGGGCTGCAGATTCAAAGTCATTATTGCATGAGGGATGAGTTAGAACACTCAAACAAATCTATTTGTCCCCAGCACTGGTGTTGCCTGGCTAATAGAAAGCAGCAAGCAGTCTTTATGTCTCAGTCTGCTCAAATGTAGACCCTTCAAGGGCATGACAGTGGGACAGCACACACACCTCCAACCTGCAGAGATGAGGCCCGTGTCATTCAGTGGTCACCATCCTGGGAAATTTCACTGTTACCTTCTTCCTCTGAGAGCTGAGAAAATCTAAAATTAATGAAGTGAGTAGAGAGAATCAAAGCAACAGAGACTAAGATTTAAGTATTCCCTGACACTCCTAGACACACTATTTCCAACTGGAGTCATAGTGAGTGCCTCCTTTTTGCTTTTTTCATTTCTATCTTATTTCGACAAGATCTTGCTATGTTGCCCAATAGCTCAGACTCACCTCAAACCCCTTCTACCTCAGTTGCCCTAGTGCTAAGATAACAGGCATGTCCTGCCACCCCCAGCTCAGTGGTCTATCTTTGAGACAGTCAGCAACATGAGAATTAGCTTGCACGACCCTGATAAAGATGAATTGACTCACACCAGTTTCCCAGTGCCCATGAGACCCAGAGTGAATGGGGCTCTAACATCCTCTCTCACTACTTTTCTAGGAGACTACTTCTTCCAGACACATGATCCCCATATAGTCTCTCAGTAAATGAGGAAGAGCCTGGGACCTCTGCACTGACCTCAGCTCTTTCCTCATTCCTCCACCTTCTTCAAGAGTTCAAAGTCATCTCCATGAATTCCTGCTTCAAAAAGCAAGCTTGGGCTGAGAGGTGGCTCAACAGGTAAACAATGCTTGCTGCCCAAGTCTGGAAAACTCAGATGCCCAGAACGCATGCATACAAGTCAGATGAGCTGACACACTTCTGTAATCCTGCACTCCTGCGGCAAGGTGGAAAGCAGGCACCAGAGTTCATGGGTTAGCTATCCTGGAATACAAGGCATGGCAGAAACAAAAGACTCTTGCTCAACAAGGTGCAAGAAGAAAGCAGACTCTCAAAAGTTGTCCTCTGACTTCCACATACGAGTTATGTCATGAGGGAGCACATTCCGTGAAGGAGCACACACACACACACACACACACACACACACACACACACACACACACACACTCACACATTCATACATGACCTTAAAAACTGGTTTTTAAAGGTATGCTCTACCCCCACATGCCCAGCTCTCCCTACCATCTGTCTATATGTTAATACATTATCTTTCTGTGTGGCATTTCTCTCTCCGAAGCAGGCACATGCTCCTTATTTTCTCCAATACTGCCTCCCCCAAATAGAGTATGACGTACACAGGAATAAATGTCGTCCACTAACAGACCCACAGTGCTTAGGAAAAGTCTCACACCAAGTGGTACTCAACAAATAGCTCTTAAATAATTCAATTAAAACAACAAAAAAGAAAAGAAAACCTAAGTCTACCGCAGGTTGGTCTCAGGTGGCCATGTCACCTCAGAGTGCCATCTAATGTCATTCAGTCAATTATCTCACTAGCTCATCATGGCTGAACTGCCCCATCCCCTGCTCTCCAGGCTGCTAAAAACAAAAGTTTCGGAAGCAGCTGTGTATTTGCAAAGGTTTCCCAGGACTGTTGTATGTCACATTTTCCCCCTGGTAGCATTAAAGAAAGTACACTTTGCACAGGGCTATCCTGGGGATGAGTCAGCCTGGAGGAGTTGCCCACTTATCAAGCTCCACATGCCTTCTGAGGGCCATGCACCATGCCAACTCCAGCAAAAGGCTACCCTGAGGAGACTTGTATCATTACCAAGCCCTGTACATTTGGCTAGAATATCACAACTATGTGGGAAATTAGTAGGAGACCAGGCAAGGCCAGATTGGGAGGCCCTGGAAGGCCACATGCCACCATCCTGCAGAGCTGGCAGAGTCTCGAGGTCATGGCTTACACCGCAGGCTGACAACATAGCCTTTCATGCGCTGGCCCAAGAAGGGAGGCCCATACCTCCTACAAATCAGTGTCTTCCTGGCACACAGTCACTGACTCCAAAATCAACCTTTCTAGAACAATGGCAGGCAACTGGAGGCTTCTGAATGCTCAAACTGCCCTCTCCCCATTCTCTGAAGTCCCAAATCCCTGCCAAGCACAAAGGCAGTGTCACCTGAGCCTTTGTGGCACCAACAGTACATGGATTGTGAGGCTTTCTGCAAGGGAAAAACTTTTTTGCAAAAATAAAAGCGCAGGTGAGACCTTTAGAGGAATACAAGATAGCTGTGATGTGTGCTGTGAGTCCTGAACTCGGCGGGTTCGGTTTGGGTTTAGTTTTTGTTCTTGCTGTTGTTTTAGGAAGTGTGAGGGATCAAACCCAGGGCCTTGCACAAATCAAGCAATCACTCTCTCTACCACTGAGCTCTATACTTTCATTTCTAAAGGGTAACTTAGAGTGACAATAGTTCATATCCCCTTTACCCACAAATTCCTAACCCATACCTACAAAACCCTCTCAATGACCCAATTTTACAAGGACACTAAACTCCAAAGTGACTTAGTGGATGTTTGAACACTATCCTTTCTTTCAACTTCTCCCACACAGGGTCTTCATCACTGAGTTTGGGGCCTGGTACTACAATTCATTGCTTGGTGATCCTATAAAATATTGTGCAAAAACAAAAGGAACAGATTGTCACTGCCTATAGGAAACTAGGAGGGCCCTTGGGGAGAGGAGGAAACTTCACCCAGGATTCTTGTCCTTACTCCATACATGATGGGGGATGTCCTTATGTAAATAAGTTTCTTTTACTAGTTGATGAATAAAACACTGTGGCCAATAGAGGCAGGGAGATAGGTGGGACTAAGAGATGAGAATTCTGGGAAAGGTAGGCAGAGGAAGCAAACCAGAGGGAGTCACCATGTAGGCCACCAAAGGAGTAACAGGTCCGGACCCTTCTCCGGTAAGATAAGACCATATGGAAATACTTAGCTTAATAGAAATGGGTTAATAATTAAGACAGAGCTAGTCCCTAAGAAGCCCTAGTCTTCCACCAACAGCTTCATAATTAATATAAGTCTTTGTGTGTTCATTTGGGGCAGAAACAGCAGTGGAACCAGGCTGAAAAGAAAACACCAGCAACACATTCCTATAGAGGCAAAGAATAAGAAAACAGAGAGGGACAATGTATGGCTATTGGGCTTTCCCTTCCTCTCTGAAGAAAGCAGGCAATCGCTTAACTAAAAATTCGTGTTATCCTAGTGCTTTGACTGAACAAGTATTCCCATTTTGCCCATGAAGAAACTAAGTCTGAGATTATGGGTAACCCACTCAAGTCCCAGGAAGCAAGCCACACAAGCCTTCAAACAAAGTTTGCCTGGTTCAAAGAATCTTCCACAGCCCACGCCAGACTGATTTCAGCTCACAAGCACAGTGGGCAACCTTGCTTTGGCCAGCCAGACAACATGGTGAGGTCCCAAACCTCCCAGATCACATCAATCATGCTAAACCTCAGTCTGTCTATCTGTAAAATAGAGACATCTGGGCCACAGAGGTATCACAGGGGCCATATAGACTTTGCAACCTTAACAAAGACACACCATCTTCACTGACATACTTTGCAACCTGGAAAAGGATATGTAGCCAAGGGGCTGACTCTGAAAAAAACAAGGAGTAAGTACAGCTCTCCTGGAGGCTGAGGAGAATCAGGAGCGGCTCAGCTGCCTCCAGAAGGTCAACACACAAGCACGGCACCTAGTGACACTTGCAGTGCACTCACTTCTGGTCTTCTGACAGCGTAAAGAAATGAAAACCTGGAAGGCTGGTCCTGAGTTGCAAGCCCCCTCTTGAGAACTAGGTCACTCTTTCCAAAGTTCATGGAGACGAAGGATGGGAGGGACAATAACTACAGAATAATGATATAAACATATGAAACTGTCAATCAGTATTTCCTTGTATGCTAGCCAAAAAGTAGTTAGCATAATAAATAAATCTACAAATTAATAAATAAGCCATGAAGAAGTCCCCTTTTCCATCTACAAATATAGGGCATTGAGAGGGGCAGCATCTGTGAACCAAGAAGCAGCCCTAATGAGATATCAAATCACCAGCACGGTACCATTCCAGTGGCTGATGCTTGGTTCTACTCCTCTCAAGTCTACCCCACCTCCAAGAGGGAGTCTGATTCAGGTATTCAAGCCAACAAGGTGTGCTGAGTCCCTGGTCTGGGCACTAAGTACATCCTATCAGTAGACACGGTGTAGTGACACCTGAGGCCCCTTGCTACAGTCAGCCACCTCTGCCCTCCATCATGCAATCTTCAGTGCTTGGTATCCACTAGATACCAAGGCAATGACTCACTGGTGTACCTACTATAACCATTCACATGAAAACTGCATTAATTTTACATCAGATCCAAATGCCAAATTGAAAAACATAAAGTTAACATTCAGGTCTCAGAGAATGTGTAGAAGACCAAAGAGAAACACTATTTTGAATCAAATAATCAACAATTTCAAAATTCCCTCCCTGTGGCTTTTATGATCATCTCCATTTCTCTTCCAGTCTAAGAAACCACATACATATGCTGGTAGATAAGTGTCTAACAAGTTTGTGATCACATGCATTGTCTATGTCACAGTGGTGAGGATACGGTTATCGTGTAGAGCCCTAAATACTTACAAAGAACCTTCAAGTGAGCCTTCACACAGTACTCCCAAGAGTCTAAAGTAACATCACCTACTTTAAGTCTGTCCAGCAGCTTAAAGTTGCTCCCAAAGCCATATCAAATGCCTGATCGAGTCTGCTTGGCCCTAAAGCATGAGCTTTATCCAAGACCCGACACCTCACTTCTCTACAAAAAAAACCCTGTTGCAGACTCTGTCCCGGCAGGCCATCATCGCTGCCTTGTTTAAATCTCTGCAGCTGAGACTTCCTGCAGTACGATCCTCACAAGATTGGGCCCAGTAGCGTTTCCTAATGGAATAGGGAGCAGAGTCCTCACAAGGGACACAAGGCCTCTTCCCTGGATCTACAAGCTGCTGACAACTGCTTAAAGAGATTCTTGGTTGACCATACAGCTGCCTTTGGAGGTAACCTCAACTCCACTGAGACACACAGCTCACCCAAGTAGACTTGGTGAACAGGTTTCTTTGGTATGCTGTCACCCTCTCTTATCTGCTGTAAACAAAAACATGCACCCAATGAAAAGTCACACAATGAACATATACTGGAAACCATGATAATCAACAGGTGGCCC